GTCAGTTGATATAACCAGAAAATCCTGCATTATCCTGCAAATTTACTAGTCCTCATGATCTGGACTTAAGCCCTTATACTTGTTATAGCTCTATGATGTTACAAAACAACRTTTCACATAAAAGCAGATACCTTGATGTTCGTGTTGACTTTTGAATAAGATGATAGATTTTTTTTTTAAAAGGAATCTTCTGCAACTTCTGTTGATAGCTCTTAATTTTGTGTTATCTTGTAACTCAAGATATTACCACAAACACACACTCTCTCATGGGGTTGTCACCACCAAAACTTCAGCCCTGCAGCCTTTTTATGAGGATTAGTGATTGGGCAAACTTGCATTTTAGACACTTAAGTCAAAAAATTATGGGGTGAAGGGATTAATAAACTGTCAGACCTTTTTTCTCTTATAAAAATCTATTGTTACAAAGACTAGACCTGAATAGAAGTTAGGCAACAAATATTGTAAACATGAAAAACATCATATAAGACACTAATATCAACAGTATATCTCACACATACATACATACCATGTACTTTTTTATATTGGTATAATATAAATTGAGTGCCACTTTCTGTTGTCTCTTCCACAGTAAGATATATGCAGTGTGTGGCCATGTTTACTCAGATACTCATTCTAGACAGGTGAAATTCTGAGACTATAAAATGTATATATTTAATGTTTGTTTGGGCTTGTGGCCTGGCCTCTAAGAGCTGCTTCTAACATAGCCTTGGGTCATCAATTAATAAAGTAGGAATTTGAGCAAAACCTTGTCCACAAGCCATTTAGTATCCACTTAGCCCCAAGTAGTTAGTAAGTGGAAGTACCCCACTTTTACAAGTTGGGCCTGAGTTCCCTACTTAATTGTGTAGCTTAACATGCCGAGTGAGGGACATTCCCCTATGGATTGTCTTTATATTAGTATTCATCTAAGCCCAGAGATATATAAGGGAAAAGTGATACAATTTAGAAATAGGGATCATTGCTTTCTTTAGAGGACATCATTGTTAACTACGGCCTCTTCCAAATATGATAGTAGTTTTATAATATTCTAGCACAAGTTGCTATAAGGAGTCCTTGATGTGTTTTTGATAATCAGCTGGAAAACTCAAATCAGATTGGGCCTACCACCCATGATAGAAAATAGATGTCTGTTGCTGCACTTATAAATGAAAAGGAAATCTGGGACACCTGCAAAATGCCAGAATGTAAGATTAATTCATTGTGTTCCCCAGGCCTTTTAAGGTGTGGGTTGATAGGACTTATAAAGTCAGTTTCATTTCATATTTATTTTCTTTATTTTTTTTCTCTGAGAGTGACCTGTGTATAAAATAAACTTCTATGTATATGTACTTGCATTATCTTCCAAATCCAATCTAATAGGATGTTTTCATTTTAAGAAGAAGGAAAAAACAGTTTTGTAGAATAAAGAGGAAAATGGGCACAAAACCTTAGAAGGCAGCTGTTTGCAGAAGCTTTCTAGCTAACAACCTCTATGCTGCCTCCAGTATCTGTTTTGTACTTTGCCTTCAGATTGTATGCCTTTTCTGGCAAGCTTTTTTTTTTTTTTTGGTAATATATAAAACTCTTTTCCTGAGCCTCTTTATGAATGGCTGTGGCACCATTAATGCTGCTGAATATCTTTAAACTTATCACAAAAGCAAAGTGTGTAGCTTAAGGACACTGTTGGTAAGGAAACCAAGTGTCCTCTGTGCCTTCTTTCTTTCTGTGAAGTAACTTAGGATGTCAAAAAAATTGAGACATTAAATAAGTTATCATCTTGGTACAACATGGTGCATATATGCATTTGGATATGTAAGGAGGTGCTTTGTCCAGAACTCAGCAGCAGCTCTAAATCTTTAAGAGTAGATATGTGACATACATAGTTTTGTGTTGGCTTTGCTGGAGTATGATAGGAAAATGAAGACTCTAATCAGCTCTGGTATTGCTCATAACTTACCAAGAGGCTAATACTATGGAAAATTATTTAAATAGGTTTTATCAAGCAGGTTTTTTTTTTAGTATAGTTTTTAATATGTGAAAGCTGAAGGAAATTAGAGGTATTTTAATGGTGCAGGTGAAGGCACCTGTTGCTGTTTGGGATCACACTCTACAAAAGCTTCATGACTTTATTTGATGCTGGTTTCTAAGCAGTCATTGTACGGGGTATAAGTCTACTGGGTGCCTTTACAAGCCAGAGGCTGATGCTGCACTGTTGTCATGCAAGGAAATAATGTACATGCTCTAACAGCAAAACAGGAAAGGAACCTAGAAACAAAATGAAGAGCAAAACATCAAAATGGTTGACTAAAGTAAAACTTGATCAACATAACTATTTTGAAACATTCCAGGAAGGTTACTTCTTGTCATACTTGCCTGGGGGTGTTTGTTCAAACTTGTATTTAATAAATGAACACCTGACTTACAACCTTTGTTGTCATTTTATTATAGTATTAAAAGCTAGTGGCAGTTTCAGAAATACCTCAAAAATCTAGAGGACTCTAACTTACACTGTTTTTCGGTAGGTATTATCAAATAATTTGTGACCTAGCTGACCTAACCCAATTCATTAGGCCTCTGGGGGGACCCTGGAGTTACCTCAGAAGATGAGTCTCAAAATGATTTTTTCCCTATTAGCCCCTGTTTGGCTCCATTTTCTTTAGCTGGCCTAAACCTCAGGTCTTTCATTTTAATTATTTTCCACCATGTTCTCCTTTATTGACCCCTTTTTGTTCTATAACCCATCCATACAAGACCTCAGCCTAGATTAATCCAGCCGTTCCTCTCAGCCCAGTATCCAAGAAAGAGACCACTGTTGGATCAAAACCAACCCAWTTTTTTTTAGAGTGGTGTAACCACAAACTTGTGGTCTTGAACATTTCCTGACAAACCTGTGTGTCCTTAACTTAAACCTCTTTCCTCAAATTCTCTCACCCTACCGGTTACCAGATGACACTGCTTTCTATTTCCCTGAGAACATAAGACTTCAGAGTCTCCACTTTGAAGCTCTTCTCCCTTCACCCCAATTGGTAGGAAAGGTCCCACTGTTCCCAGGCTAATTCCTCCACCTCCTTTCCTGCCTCAGGGATCTTTTGAATTCCCCTCCTCTGTGTTCTGTTTTCTTGAGTTCCACATCCCGCTTTGATTTTCTGACTTGTATTCCCTTAAAGCCATATTTCTTCACCCAATCACTCTGGCTTCTAGCCTGTTTTTGAAAGGCTAGTTAACGTCAAAGATTTTCATATAGCTAAGTTAACCTTTTCTTTATCTCTTAACCATTTCATGAGTTTTACTTTTGCTCAGGTTTCGCCTGGATAACTTCTGTTCATCTCATCAAATATCATTTCTTTTTTATATATTTATTTTTTAGTTGTAGTTGGACACGATATCTTTATTCCATTCATTCTTTTTTTTTTTTTTTTTAATGCGGTGCTGAAGATCAAACCCAGCGCCTCACGCATGCTAGGTAAGCACTCTACCGCTGAGCTACAACTCCAGCCCTTTCTTCCAGTCATACTCAACTACGTAGTTTCAACCACCCCTCAAGGATCTCTAAGATCCACACCATGCCTATCTAATACTGATGTTCCCCCGCTCGGCGTTTACACTGCTACCTCTTCGTTTCAAACGCTGCACTCCCTAGGTATTTATCGATCTCATTCCAGGTGAAGGTAATTGCTGAGGGCCATTGCCAAGTAGGAATGACGCATCGAAATTTCCTTGCCAGCGTACCCCATGTTAAATGGAAATTTGCTGTGACATTGCATGTGTCTTTGAGAAAGGTGACCCTGCTCAAGGACCAGGGTGGATCCAGGTTTAAGGTGTATCCTGCAGGTTTTAGGAAGTATCCCGGTTTAGGATAATTTGGGTTTAAGGCGTTCCAGGTTTAAGACAATCTGGGTTTTAGGGAAGTTCCAGGTTGAAGGTTATTCCTGCTGGGAATGGGGCGTTCCTGCTGCCTGAGTTCCCGTTGAGTTCTCGTGGAATTCAGAAAGCATTTGGGACGTGAATTGTGCGGGCAGAACTTGAATTTCCCCAGAACGTGTTTGTGTAGAGGCCGGTGTGAGTTCGGGAATAAAGAATTGCTGTTTGAATCTACAAGGTGTGTGGTGCTCSTGATTCAGTGCCCAGCCAAGACTGCGGGAGGTAATACCTAACACACCCACGCTTTCCTTAAATTTCAGAAAAGCCGGGCATATGGCCGCGGTGGCTGACACCTGTAATCCCAGCGGCTTGGGAGGCTGAGGCAGGAGGATCTCAAGTTCAAAGCCAGCCTCAGCAATAGCGAGGCACCAAGCAATTCAATGAGACCCTATCTCTAAATAAAATACAAAATAGGGCTGGGGATGTGGCTCGGTGGTCGAGTGCCCCTGAGTTCAATCCCAGGCACCAAAAAAAAAAAAAAAAAAATGCCTGGCACAAAGGAGCCCTCAATCAAAGGGATTTTGTCCCTCCTATCTGCACTGCTCCTTGTGACTAGTTAAGAACTAAGGAAATTGGATTCCAATCTAGATACAAGACATTGACATTAGAAAACATCAATTAAAGAGGGGCCGAGTCCATGGGCTGGGGTTGTGGCTCAGTGGTAGAGTGCTCGCCTAGCATGCACTCGGTTCAATCCTTAGCACCACATAAAAAAAATAATAGTAATAAAGATATTGTGTCCGCCTAAAATGTTAAGAAGCGGGGGGGCTGAGTCTAGTGATTTGGTTTGTAGTGTGCTCGGCACCCAACTTTTTGCACTTTTTGTTTGGCCTTGGACTCTCTGCCTCTAAAACAGTGTAGATATAGGAGCATTTTAACGATGCCTTCCAGCCTTGACAACCTCAGAGAAGCTCCCAGAGCACCCCAAGCAAAACTGTGAGGGTCAGCGCCAAAAAAAAAAAAAAAAAAAAAGCACGGACGCATGCGCACTTCCTCACCTCGCCGGCCTTCCGGGCCTCCGCGAGTGGCTGCCCCGAGAAATGCCTCTTTCTCTGAGGAATCCCATTATTTCCTATTTATCCTCTAGTGTCGTCTTTTCAAATCCACTTCCTGTCCGCGGCTGAAAAAAATAAATTGACTGACTAGATTCCTCAAAGGCGCTAGGACACCTAAGTATCTTGAACCGGCGCGGAAAAGGGCGGCCTGACATTGGAAGTGGCACAGGGTCCTGCAGCGAGTCCTTCCGGGGGGTGACTTTCAGCCGGCCTTTGGGGCATCAGACCTTCTGCCCTAGAACCATGGCCCAGTTCGTGCGTAACCTCGCGGAGAAAGCCCCGGCGCTGGTGAACGGTGAGCGCGGTGTGAAGCTGCCGAGGCGGGTACACGGGCTACGGGGAGGCCCAGAGGTCCCGAGGGGAAGAAGGGGGCTGTGGTGACCTGAGGGAGCTGCAGGAACCGGGGCGGGACGGCCTGGCGGTGCAGGGAGCGGGTGGGAGGATTGTGACCCTCTGACCCTCATCTCGTTTGCTCTGCATCTTGGGTTCTTTTTACCACCTAGAAGGAGCTGAATTCTAACCACGACAGTGAAGAGGGGTAGGGGGAAGGAAGCCTTGAGTACCTCCCGGCCGGCGCCATTACGCCCCTTTAGATCCCCCAGAACAGGGAGGCAGAGGGGATGGCTCTGTTAGAGATAGGAAGGGGAAGGGCAGAAACTTGAGAAAGTACATAAATTTGACCTCATCGGGTAGTCTTGTTCTCATTGGAGAGTATTGAAAAGTCAGTAGAGCTGCTGGGGATGTGGCTCAAGCGGTACCATGCTCGCCTGGCATGCGTGCGGCCCGGGTTCGATCCTCAGCACCACATACCAACAAAAATGTTGTGTCCGCCGAGAACTAAAAAAAATAAATATTAAAAATTATCTCTCTCTCCTCTCTCACTCTCTCTTTAAAAAAAAAAAAAAGTCAGTAGAAATGTTGAAGCAGGGATGAGCTTTGAACGGTGCCTTTGCCTTCTTCCCTGCTTTAACCCAAGGGAAATTGTAGGCGAAATTGGACTTTATGGATGAGTGTCCCCGTCCCAATAAGCATTGAAAGGTTTTCGTATAAATAATATAATCTTTGTTATTATAGCTTAACATTCATGGAATTTTTTCAGTTCGAAGAACCTCACTGTAGCCCGCTATATACCAGAACAATCCCGAATATTCACAGCCCTGAGTAATAGTCTGTTCTGTGGGTAAACCCTCAGTTGTTTTCTGTAAGTTCTTCGTTTTATTCCTAGAGTGAGATGAGCTAAATTGACGTTTCTTCATTAGTTGTGGTATATTGTAGTAAGTGGTTTGAAGATCAGATTGCTAAATAGTTTTTATTCAAATTTAATCAAAATTGAATTGTGGCCAGAAAGCAGAATTCTGAAAAATACGTGCAAATGTTTTTAAGCCTATTATGCTGTCTGATTTTCTTATTCATTCTCTCTTCACTTCATCACCAAACAATGAGTCAATGAAAATCTTGCAGTGCCCGATAGTATATACTTGATTCTCTCTTCCTACAGTTTGGAACCCCACAGTCTATTGGTGAGACACGTTATACATTTTCCCATTTTATTTGAAGATTTTATGTTACTGAGATCCTTGAATTATCTGTTTAAAAAGCTCTGCACTTTTGTGTAAATTAAAAGAAAAATTCTTCAATCTTTGGACTTTGTGGATAATATAAGGCAAAACTTTTAATAATTTCAAATGGATTTTTTTCCTAGTGGCTTTCACATATTGGGAAATGAACTAGTTTCTGTGATAAAATTCAAAAGGAAAAGTATTAACAAAATAAATTTTTGTTATGAAATATATAATCCCTACTGGGCATGGTGTGCACACCTGTAATCCCAGCAACTTGGAGGCTGAGGCTGGAGAATCACAAGTTTGAGGCCAGCTTTGGCAACTTACAAAAACCCTATATAACTCAGTGATAGAGTGCCCTGGGTTCAATCCCCAGTATCACAAAAGAAAAAGGAGTGTGTGTGTGTGTTGTGTAAATCCTTTTCCTCTGTTWTTGTGAACAATTGAAAGATAACTTCTTATTCTTCCAAAAGTACTCAGAAAGGAAGAATTCACTAGGCTCTGAATGTTGAAATGGAAATGTATCTTGCTTTATAGAATAGCCCTGTGTGTTAAACGTAATTCCAGGATCTAATTTAGGATATCACATTTAGTTGTTATGCCTTCCTAGTCTCCTCTGATTTGTGACATTTCCAATTTTTCCTCATCTTTCAAAAGACTTTGACTGTCTTGAGATGTCTGTCTATGTATCCTGAAGAATATCCCTCAATCTGGATTTATCTGCTGTTTCTCTCATGATTAGTCTGGAACTATGGATTTTGAAAAAGAATACCACAGAGATGAGATACCCTCAATCTATAGAAAGGTATATTTATATCACTTGTAATAGCTTTTATTCCTTGGTTTAGGTAGCATTTCATATATTCCTCCCCTATAGAGTTATTATTTTCCCTTTCTATATCTTTGGGGTTTCCTGTGGTGGTAGTGGGTTTTTGTTTGTTTTTCAGTACTGGGAATTGAGCCCAGGGTTGTCTCCCCAGAGCTTCATCCCCAACCCTTTTTACTTTTTAATTTGAAGCAGGTCTCACTAAGTAGTCCAGGCTGGCTTTGAACTTGTGATCCATGTCCTGCTTCAGCCTCCTGAGTATCTGGAATTATAGGCATGTGCTACCCCATGCCTGGCACTAACTCCTACCTGATGTTTAGAAGCAAGTAACTATGTCTGACCCCTGGGGCAGGAGGGTTTGCAGCCAGAAACCAGGGTGATTGGATGGTCCATTTCCTGTAGGGGGGAATATCTGCAAATATTAAATGGAATTCTTCTGTAAGAAAGATTTGTCTCTTCTTCGTTTATTTACTCAATCACTTACTGTATTGGTTCAWTTACATTTATTTCACACTTTGCCTATCCAATATTCTTTATTTTTTGCTCAAATTGGCCATTGAGAACTGTTTTAAGTTGGCATTTCTGTTCCTTTGATGGTGCCCCCTTATTTTCTGAAGTTTCCAGTCTTTCCTCATCTTTCATGATCTTGACCCTCAGGATTTATCTGGTGTTTCAGACTCATCTTGGTTTTTTTTCTTGCTCAGCCTTAGTATTGGCCATTTCTCCAAGGAGCACTAGCTTTTTGTTTTGTTTTGTTTTGTTTTTGATAATGGAATTTAGAAACTAAGATGTGGTGTTGAGTTTGTTCCCTGCTACTAGACTATTAGCTTCTAGGGGATGTCAGTAGACAGAGATACGGATACAAATCCATATGGGGCATGCATACCAACCCATGTATTAAGGTGAACATGAGTTCACGTGTATGTTTGCAACTATAATCCAGTAGCACGAGTTTTGGTTTTGTTTGTTTTGTGCTAGGGCTTGAACCCAGGACTTTACACATGCTGAGCACATGATGCTCTACCTCTATATGCCACAAGCCCCAAATAACCTCTCAACTTTTTTTTTTTTTAACAGAGAAGATTTATTTATTTTTTTAAGAGAGAGAGAGAATCTTTAATATTTATTTTTAGTTCTCGGCGGACACAACATCTTTGTTGGTATGTGGTGCTGAGGATCGAACCCGGGCCGCAAGCATACCAGGCGAGCGCGCTACTGCTTGAGCCACATCCCCAGCCCCATAACCTCTCAACTTTATTGTGTTTTTTACTTTTTGTTTTCTTATATGAGATAGGGGTCTCACTTTGTTGCCTACCCTTGCTCTGAACTCTTGGGTTCAAGCAGCCCTCCTATCTCAGCCTCCAGAGTAGCTGGGACTACAGGCACACATTACTGCCCCTAGCTATTCTTATTTCTTTTTTTGCTTATCTCTGAATTCCCTTTCTTCACTGAGAAATCTGGTTTATACTATCCATCATTCATTTACTTATGTTTTGTTCATCCCTTGTATATTAACTTGTGCTCCTAAGAAACATTTACCAACTCAAGTAGTATTTTATGTACAGTGTACTCCTCTTTTTGAAGAGAGGGGTTTGCAGTGCTGGGATCAAACCCAGGGAATCATACTAACCAAAGGACTCTACCACTGAGCTACATCCCCAGCCCCCAGTTAGTTAGGTTTGTTTGGGGTTTTTTGTTGTTGTTGTCGTTTTTAAAGGACAAATATCTGTGTTGAAGGTAAGTTTAAAGATGGTTTGTTGACTATTTCATAAGACATGTACTTTTTAATTGTCCCATTTGGTAGGTATTGGCAGTTCTCTTTAGAACAGTCTCTTAGTRTTTTATGTCTACCTAGTGTTACTACCTGGCCCCAAGCACAGGATAAGTAAGATGGTGGTTCTTATTTTTTTTTTTTCCTCTCTTTGGTACCAAGTATTGAACCCAAGGGTGCTTAAGCATTGTCTACATCTCCAGCCYTTTTGAGACAGGGTCTCATTGAGTTGCAGAAGCTGGCTTTGAACTTGTGATCCTCCTGCCTCAGCCTCCAAAACCGTTAGCATTACAGGTGTGTACCACTGCATCCAGCAGGGAGATAGTGATTCTAAGAATAGTAAAATATCCTGGGCCAGGGTTGTGGCTTAGTGGTAGAGTGCTTGCCTAACATGCACTGGGGGTTTGAACCCTGGCACTACATAAAAAAATAAAATAAAGGTGTTGTGTCCATCTACAGTTAAGGGGGAAAAAATAGTAAAATACTCAAATACAGGCATTTAATAGAAAAAACTCCAACAACCGTGGGTAACCCATCTTTAAATAATAGACATTTGGGGGCTGGGGTTGATAGAGCATTTGCCTAGCATGTTCGAGGCCCTGGGTTCAATCCTCAGCACCACATTTAAAAAAATAAATAAAATTAAGGTATTGTGTCCAACTACAACTAAAAAAATAAATTAAAAAATAATAATGATAGACATTTTATGAACGTTCATGGATTTGTGTTTTTGTTTTTCATTGGGGCTCAAACCCAGGGCTTCATGCAAGYACTCTTTGAGCTATACCTCCAACTTCTTGCTATTTTTATGTTCCTCTTATGATTTTATTATTTTATTTATTCATACTGAGAACCCAGGTGCGTTTTAYAGTTGAACTATATCCCAGGCCCTTTTTATTTTAGACAGGGTTTGGCTAAGTTGCTAAAATCTCACTAAGTTTCTATGGCTGTCCTTGAACTTGTGATCCTTCTACTTCACCTCTCAAGTTGCTGGAATTATAGGCATGCACCACCCACATCTGGCTTGATTTTTTTTTTTTTTTTTTCCTCCACCTTGCTGAAGTCACTAGTCTCACATTTTCCCAGTTTATTAAGGGTCTATTTTCTTGCCAGGCATGGTTGTGCACTCCTATAATCCCAATGACTCAGGAGACTGAGGCAGGAAGACCACCAGTTCAAAGCCAGCCTCATCAATTTATCAAGGCCCTAAGCAACTTAAATCCTGTCTCATAATAAAAAATAAAAAGGGCTGGGGATATGGCTCAGTGGTAAAGTGCCCTTGGGTTCAATCCCTGGTATCAAATTAAAAAAAAAAAATCTCTCTTCTTGAAATATTAATGCCTTGAAGAATTTGAGCTTAATAATAGAGTCTGGTTTGGGCTGCTCTTAACAATACATGTAGGTTTTACTTTTATTATTTGTGGTGTTTTTGAAAGGGAACAGCTGTGCCTTTGTTAGAGAAAGATTTAATCCAGCACATGTTGATGAGGATACCAAAAATGGATACTAATTGGTATRATTCTGTCTAGATTTGTAACCAATATTATGATAAATTTTAATCTTGTTCTTAAGGGTGCCATTCTGTGTAGGTCCTTCCTCCCCCCGTTCCCCTTCTGGACCTCTTCCCTTGATTTTCTGATCTCTCTACCAATAAAATATGAATAAATTTCTGCTGTTTTCTTCTGTTTGAATATAAATGCTGATACCTTTACAGTTAATTAGATTTGCCATTCATAAGTGAAGTAGCATACTAGCTGGCCACTAGTGAAATCCCAGCATAATTGAATGTGCTTATAGTTTCCTGCCTGATTGAACTTCCCTGTGACACAGGTGTTCTGCATCTTTAAAAGCCTCTTGTTACCAGGGAGCAGCTTTGACTTTTCACACCGGGTGCACATTTGGTACAAGCAGTGAATGAATGTGATGCATGAATAAATATTTGTGTCCAACCCACACATCTGCTTCTTTCGGTCTCTAGTGAGTTCATCCTGGTTTTTTTGTTTTGTTTTGTTTTGTTTTCCAGCTGCTGTGACTTACTCCAAGCCTCGATTGGCCACATTTTGGCATTATGCCAAGGTTGAGCTCGTTCCTCCAACCCCTGCTGAGATCCCTACAGCTATTCAGAGCCTGAAAAAAATAGTCAATAGTGCTCAAACTGGTAGCTTCAAACAGCTTACAGTTAAGGTAACTATGGGCTAAGTGAAAACGTATGTACATAACAGCAAATGTCTTCCCTTGGGATTTTTCTGATTGTTTTGATTAATATGTGTGTTTTCAATGAGACTGAATCCAACATAATGAGAGATAATCTCTTTTTTTTTTTGACTGCCAAGGAAGATATTTACTTTTCTAATTTTGTCATCTACATAGAAATAATTTGGCTATTTTATTTCTTGGTTTTCCTAATAGTCTTATACTATAACAGAAAAGTAAGCGTTTTTTTAAAACTGGAAAACATCTTCCTTTCCAATTTTGGTACCTATACTAAAATGATTGCTTACTTCCTGATTTATACTTTTTTATTCATCTTTAGTCCTGGAATTGTCCCCAATTCGGCCAAAATATCTTTTAAACTATATTAGTCAGCAAGCTAACCAAATCTGGGTTATCATATTAACATGAATATTAAATATCATAAAAATTAGAACTTAAATTTTATGTTTACTTAAATTTGCCGTTCATAAGTCAAATGAGCACAGGGTATAAAAAGCCTAAATAATAGTTATTGACTTTAGAACCTACATCCTGGAAGATATGGTTATTTATCAGAAGATTCTAATAACCTCTGGTCTAATTTTGTAGGGGAAAATTCACTTCTAGAAGTATTAAAAGGAAAAGGCTCAATTTTGTCATATAAAGGTATTTTTTTCAACCAGTTTCAAGGTCCATATTTGTACTTGTATGAAACATTGCTTTCTGGAACCATATGTGTGTGTGTGTGTGTATATATATATATATATATTTTTTAGGGCAATAAAATGTTGATTTGTGAAACTGAGTACTGAATATTTCGAGTTAAACCAAATAATATGTGAATAAAAAGGAAATACAAATGGGAAAACAGTCCTTCATCTTTAAGCAGATTATCTTCAGCCAGGCAGAAATGTCTTCAGAGATTTGGCCTTCCTTTAGCCATCCTTTCATATCAATGCCCTATCTAAATGTGTCAGCTATTTCCAGGATGTGGGTGGTTTTAGGGCCCATAAAGTGTCTCATAAACTAATAATGAAAGGGTTAAGTCAGTTCAGGTCTTTAAAGAATGCTTTGAAAGAATTTATAAGCTCTGGACTACTTAACTTACAGAATTTGAAATTTCAGGGGTCCTCAGCAGTTAAGCAAAGTTAACATTATTAACTCTTAGCTTTGACTAAATTGCCCTCTAATTTGAATAGTGTCCTTATATTCTATGTCACTTAGTCCTAGAAAATAATAGTCTTAAATATATAAAGAAAAGAAGGTACCTTAAAATTGGTACTACTTTTTGGGCTGAGGCTGTAGCTCAGTGGCAGAATGCTTGCCTAGCACATGTGAGGCACTGGGTTCATTCCTTAGCACCACATAAACAAATAAACAAAGGCATGCTGTCCATCTACAACTGCAAAAAAAAATTTTTGTACTACCTTTTTTTTTTTTTCCAGGAAGCTGTGCTGAATGGTTTGGTGGCTACTGAAGTGTGGATGTGGTTTTATATCGGAGAGATCATAGGCAAGCGTGGCATCGTTGGCTATAATGTTTGAAGACCAATCTTTAACATCTGATTATATTTGATTTATTATTTGAGTTTTCTTGGACCATATATGATCAGATTGCTATCTGAATAAAGATGTATCAGAATAAGATGTATCAGATATCAGTGTTTTTTCTGTCAAATACTGTATAAAAGGTCATAGGTTTTTGTTGTTGTTTTGGGGGTTGTTTTTGTTTTGGATTTGGGTTTTGGGGTTTTTTGTCAAGGGAGTGGTACTGGTCATTGAACCCAGGAGGCACCCTACCAATGAGCTATATTCCCAATCCTTTTTATTTTTTGAACCAGGATTTTGCTAAATTTCTGAAGCTGACCTCAAACTTGTAATCCTCCTATCTCAACCTCCTGAGTCACTAGGATTACAGGTCTGAACCACTGATACCCAGGACAATTTTTCTTGATATTAAGTTTGATTTAAAGTTGGGCACAGTGGCACACACCTCTAATCCCAGCAGTCTGGGAGGCTGAGGCAGGAGGATCACAAGTTTGAGACCAGCCTCAGTAACTTAGCAAGGCCCTAAGCAACTTAGTGAGACCCTGTCTCAAAATTAAGAAGAATTGGGGATGTAGCTCAGTGGTAAAGCCCCACTGGGCTATATCCCCAATACCAACAGAAAAAAAAAATTATATTTAAGCTTTCCAGAAAACTTGAGGGGAAAAGTCTTGAGAAAACTAGAACTTGCTATAGCAAAAGATATAGTAATACCATGTGCCAGAGTGATGTAGTTAAATCATATTGGTAAAAGCTGGACTTTAAACCTTAAAGTCCTTGGTTGGCTCATTGGCATGTTTCTAACCTTTAGTTCCAGCAACTTCAGAGCCTGAGGCAGGAGGGTCAGTTGAGCTCAAGAGTTTGAAGCCAACCTGGATAACATGATGAGACCCTGTCTTAAAAGAAGACACGTTAACAAAGAGAAAAATTGGATTGTTTGTCTTTGCTGTAATCATTGACCCATTTGACAACAGTTGTGTCTATAAATGTTGGGATACTTGTCTACTAAAGTATTTACTTTCCCAAAAAGAATAACAGTGGTGGTGATTTTGAATATGAATGTTTGTAACATCTTTAACAGAAGTTCAGAGTAAATAAGAACCGTGACCTATATTTTTAAGTATAATTTTCACTTGTATTGTTAATCTTTCTGATTGTATGATTTTTAGAACTTGTTTTAAAAGATCCCACAGATAATTAAACAAGTTTATAACAGCATCATCTATGGGGTCTAAATAGTATATTGTGTCTTGAAATAAATAGAAGTAATTGGTGTCAGTCTGTCTTGAGCCATTTTATTAAGAATATAGGAGATATATATAGTAGATAACTGACCATAGCCTTTGCCTGGGAACCTTAAAGTCCTTGGTTGGCTCATTGGCATGTTTCTAATCCTCTCCTGCTCTTAACAGCCATAGCAAAACATGCAGTGCCAGCTAATGATAACTAAAAAGTTGTTGCATATTTATTGTGAAAGCAATGTGGTTCACAGTATAGTATTAATCTTTTAATAGTGTTGAGGATCCATCTACAACTAAAAAAATAATTCAAAAAGAAAGTTTCCATAGAGATTTCTACTCTTCTGAAAGTAATGCCCAACTTACTGCTTCTGCAATAAACACAGGTGATCAAAACTGAAACTAACCTTTTAAAAAGTATTCAGTAACTTAAAATATGCAGAACAAAAGATCACAGAAATACAACCATGATGATGATCTGTATTTCTCTGTTTCTGGTAGTACAAAAGTATTAAACAGAAAAAGGTGTGAAATCCGCTAGCTCTCCTTATAACCTATAGAGGCCTAGTTGATTCATGATATATAATGTTACTTTTTTAAACCACATACTCACACCTGAAAGTCCTCAAAGTAAACATTACTATTCACTTCACTGCTACTTCCTCCTCCTTTGCCCTACAGAGCTCCTCTGAGCTCCCTTGTGACTAATAGTGCATGTACAGAATTTTCTTAGGAGGTTAAAATAGCAGCGGGCTCCTTAAAGTGGACTTGACTTCACCAAGCTTGTTTCTTTTTGCCTTTATCAATTCCACATACCTTGTCTCCTAGTGGAGAACTGTTCAAGCAATCGTTCACTGGATGTGGGTGCCAAGTGTTTGTCACTGGCAACTTAAATATTATTTAATTCGGATGTTCAGTGTGCACCTCCTAATTCCAGGCACTATATAAATATTAGAAACATGAATAAGACTGTTACCTGTTTGCAGAGTTGAGTCTGGTGCTGTGGAGGATATGCTGTGAAGGATAGGCTAACCCAGATTTGAGAAGAAGGTTCAAGGGGGTTGTAGAGGAGATGTGTATCTAAAGTAAACCAGGAAAATAAGAGCCAAGAAAAATGGATCAAGGTATACTAGGCAGGTAGAACAACCTTTACAAAAAATATTGCTGGTGCGGTGGCCCCACTTGTAATTCCAGTGGCTGGGGTGGCTGAGGCAGGAAGATCACAAGTTTAAAGCCAGCCTCAGCAACAGTGAGGCACTAAGCAATTCAGTGAGACCCTGTCTCATAAAATATAAAAAAGGGCTGGGGATGCGGCTCAGTGGTTGAGCATCCCTGTGTTCAATCCCTGGTGCCCCAAAAATTGTAAAAATAAAATATTAAGTCAGCCAGGCAGGCAGCATGCATTTGTAATCCCAGTTACTTGGGAGGCCTGGGCAATTTAGTGAAACATCTCAATAAAAGGACGCGGATGTAGCTCAGTGGTAGAGCACTTTGCTAGTGTTCCTGAAACCCAGGTTCAGTCCTCAGCACTGCAAACAATAAATACAATAAATATGTGTGTGTGTATATCTTAAGATATACATCTTAAGTACTGCCATTAAAATGTGCAGTATGAGCTGGCAATTTCAATTCCACCTAACCCTAGGAAAGAAAATGCATGGGGTGAGTCAGGACTACATGGTGGTGCATACCTGTAGTCCYAGCTACCCAGAAGACTGAGGCAAGAAGATTACTCAAGCCCATGAGTCTGGGACCAGCCTAGCATAGTCTCAAAAACAAAAAAAGCATGGGATGCAYGTAAGAGTGTATGGTCCCCTGGGTGCGACAGTGCATGCCTGTAATTTCAGCAGCTCAGTAGGCTGAGGCGGGAGGATCGCAAGTTCAAAGCCAGCCTTAGTAAAAGCAAGGAACTAAGTAACTCAGTGAGACCCTGTCTCTAAATCTGTAAGTAAAATACAAACTAGGGCTGGAGATGTGGGTCAAGTGCCCCTGCATTCAATCCTCGGTACCGCCCCACACACACAGAAAAAAAAAAAAGAGTGTATGGTCCTGTGTTTTTCTCAGTATATAAAACTACAATAGTAGGCATGAGGAGACAGAAGATTATAGTTACAAATAGTCACTATGATCCAGAAATATGATTCCTAAGGAAACCACTATCTATAAAAATAACAACATAAATGTTAATAAACAGCAAAGGCTTTTTGTTGAGGCTTTCATCATTTCAAGACTTAATAGTAAACCCTGGGGAGTATAATTCAGTGTGAGAGTGCTTGCCTAGCACACATGAGACTGGGTCTGATCACCAGCATCAAAAATATAGATGATAGGGCAGAAGTTAATGTGAAACTGTTCACATTGCATATTTAATCTTTTGTTGTATATATCTCCTCATTGTTCTTCTTGGATAACAGATTCTTTCTTTTGGCCTGTATTTCTAGTCCAATATGTTTTGTTTTTTTCAGTATTTCATATTGTATAGCTCTTTACATTTTTAAGACATATGCACTATCTCATTTAGTCAAATTTCCTCTGAAGCACATGGCATAAATGGTATACCCATTTAACAAGTCAGGAACTGAACAACAGAAATATTAATGATGTGGCTAGAACCCTGTGACTAACAAGTGGTGGATGCACAAGTGGGGCCCAGATAATGAGCCCCTGTTGATTGTGTTCTTTACTCATGACTATTATTTGACCTCTCTACTTTGTGTACAGTTCATCCTATATTATTTTTTTCTCATATTGCAGTCCTGTTTTGCTCTACTACCAAGTTGCTTTAAGTTTTGTGAGGTTGTTTTCATTTGTGGAACTGAGGATTGAAACAGGGCCTTGTGCATACTAAGCAAGAGCTCTATCACTGAGCCACATCTCCAGCCCAAGATGTATTGTCTCTTTAGATGTCATCCTGTCTATTTTTTTCAGCTTCTTTTATTGGTGCATTATAGTTGTATAGTTGTTTGTAGTGGTGGGAGCCTCCCTTATATGCATATTTTTGACATATACATGTATGTGACAATATACTTACATATGACATATACATATGTATGACATACATATATATGACAATAGAAATCTTATGTAAGATAATATATGGCTTTGTGAAACTTCCTACTATTTCTTAATTAGTGTGGTTTTAATTTTCCCCAGCACATGAATTGATATGATTGTGATCACTCTTATGATGAGTACAGTAACAGCTCTACCTGAGATAATACCTTAGCAGAAAATGTACACAAGACCTACTCATCAGACAAAAGTCCTCCGTACATAAAACACTGCGATGCAGGGCCCTTGATGGGCTGCCTTTGGCCTCAATCTCATTTTGTTACCAAACATTGTTTCAACTACATAATTTCTAACCAGTCCCCATTAAAAAAAAAAAAAGTTTCATGTAATTAGACTGTATTCTCACTGGTCCTGATAGTTGTAGTTTTCTACCAATCACCAGGTCACACCCCACTCCCATCCTCACTCTTTTTCTTGACAATTTTGTCTCCTGGTTTGCTCTCTATAATACTCCCTCCATCTTAATCCTTGGTAATTTCAACATATACATAGGTCAATAGTTTCTGTGGTCCCTGAACCAGAGCAGCATCAGCATCACCAGGGATCTTAGAAATGAGAATTCTCAATTTTACCCCAGAGACTCTGGAGTGGGATCTTGCAATCTATATTCTAACTGGCTTGAACTTCTTGCATGAAGTAAGAAAGGTTACCTTCAGAAGCTCCAAATTTTAAGGCATTCCACTGCCATCAAATCCAAAAGCAACTAAAGCATTGTTATATAATTTTGAGTTATAACCTGTTTGTTAAAATAGCTCCCATATCCCCTAAGGACAACCTGCATTTCCACCTCAGTT